ATAACTGTCAATGTGCTGCTTTCCCAATATTGTTTTAGGGCTCAGATGTGCTTTGAGTTCTTTCCTGGACTCAAATTCCTCACATCAAAGCTTTTTAGAAATTGCCAATTACTGTTAGGATGCTATCACCAGCACCTGATTCTCCTCCCGGCCCTGTTCTGTTAGAAGACAGGTTATCCAAGTCCAGACCGGCCTAGAGGCATATTGTATGCCCTTATCACTAGTAACTCTGCCATTACCTTTTCAGTATATTTTTATTTCTTTATTTCTCGTAGCTTTTTCTAGATTTCTAGTGTGTTGAGTCCTGGTTCATAGACATAATGCATTTTTGAGTCACACTTTTTAATGTCTTTCCTATTTTATTCATTAAAGCAAAGCCCTCAGACATCATACTAGATTTCTTGCTGTCTCTACTGAAAGATGACCTTGAATAGGTTTATCAACTTTTCACTGAGATTTAAATTTAAGTGCCAATTATTTACTTTACTCTCATGGTAGAAAATGTTGCTTTCCTAATTATCTGTAATAAACCACATAGCTATGTCAGAAAAAAGCCGTTGGACAGGCCTTGTTATTTTCTAATGCAGTCTTGTATACTGCAGCTTAAGTAATTTGCTTTCTACGTAGTTATATTATAAATAAATACATAAATTCTTGTATTTGTTTTAATAATTTAGGACCAATCTGAGAAACTGGTAAATAGTTCTTGAGTAAGGTAACAATAGCTGTACTGTGGTAGATGATGCTATCCCGGCTCTGGCAATGGCCAGTAGCAGATAACTGGAAAAATAGTATATGTATTTATATATCTACACGTAAATACACACATATATAGATGGGTAGATGTTATGTGTATTTAGGTGTTTTGTTTATACATACATATATTCGTAGGATATAGTCTGAGTAAGATATGAATATATATAATGTATATTTGTATTATTTTGACATTATTGTTTTTGTTTTTGTTATTATTAGGAATTATTATTTTATTATTGTATTAGGTAGGGGTTGCATCTGCATCACAGTATATAATATCTCTATCTGAGTTGGCATTTTGAACCCAGCAGTCCTTTGGTATTCAAAACATTCTGGGTTCCTGTGTTCAATTATGCATGATGCACAGTAATTACTTGGTGTGTTTATGTGTTAATTAAATATGTGCATTGAAGTTTACATTTAGCAGTTTAAGCAAATGTTGCCTGTTTTGTGATTTTCAATCTTTCCATTTTCATATTAAGATACTGAAATGAGAATATTTAGTACACGCTTCAATTTTAATAATATTATTTCCTTCTCATTTTGTCAAGGTCTTTAAACTTCTGAGATCATCTGCGTTTCTGATAGCTAAGGCCTTAAAGTGAAAGCAATCTCTGCTCCTGTTAAGAATTTAGGAGAAGAAAGGGAGCTGAGAGGAAAGCTCCTGTATGGCTGGAATGCAAAACATGTTTGTTTAGCTTGTCTTGTGCTATATTTAAGAGACATTTCTTCCTGTGGTATGCTGTAGTATGATTTTGAGAAAAAGATCTGTTAGTCACAATAACATATAGAACTCTAAGGCTGAGAACGGTGTGAAGTGTTTGAAGTGAGTAGTTGGTAGCATACAGCAGCATCTTGCATCACTGGGATGCAAAGGCCAGAGCCTGGAAAAAAGGTAAGGAAGGCAAAATATTTCATGTAAGATTTTTTTGGTTTGGGGCGGGAAGTGGGTTTTGTGTGTGTGTGTGTGTGTGTGTGAGGAGTGTGTGGCATAAAAAGTTGCTTAAGATTTCCTTGTGAGTTGAGATACTGTGATTAGTTCTTGGCGCTATGTCCTCGAAGAGAAGAAAAACAACCTGCTAGCAAGCTGCCTGGGTTAACTAGAAGGATGAGCAGAGCCAGAGCAGAGAGAAGGCTGGTGCCAAAGGCAGCTGTCAGAGCACAGGGTAGCCAAAGGAAACAACCCACACAGATTAGTCCACTTAAAATGGGCTTTGCTGCCCAACAAGACTTAAAATCACTAACGGTGTGTGCGCAAATTAGTGCAAGTCATAATGTAACCAGCTCCTCTAACAGTTTCCTCTTCATCATGAGACACCAAACTGTTATGGTCATATTTTAGGAATTCGTAAATACTGCCTTGTTCCTCTACCCACCTGGAATTTTTCTCTCCGTTTAATAAAAATGGTGTTTGTTAGCAAAGTCAGTCACATTTGGAGGTTGGGGAAAGTTGTATCTCTCAGCATCAGCAAGTTTAATGGGCTTACGTTTAAGGGGGTCACTGCAAAAAACATCAGTTCAAGAACTCAGTCCCGTACCAAAATGAATTTTTAGGTGGTTTACTAACCAAAAAAAAGTTGTAATTCTTATATTCTTATTAATTCTTTCAACTCCTCATTACCACCAGTGTTGTTTTTCAGTCTGGTATGGTGGAACAGGGGCATGTAAAAAGTCACAAAAGGAGCAAAAGATTTTTACTGTTATGATAAAAGTTGAGTAATACTTGAAGCTGATGGATATAATTGTTCCATTCCTTTAAGTAATACAGTAATAAAGATTCCTTTAATAAAAAGTAAAGAAGGATCTTTTAGACAATGTTAAAATATAGAAAACAGCAAACAAACTTTGTGAAACACTCTGTATGAGTTGGGCCATGGAAGCCTATGTATTTAACAGGGAACTAAAAAAGAAACCTAAAAAGTCATCATGGCCAGGAGGAGTCTTGGAAGGAGGTGTTTTGTTCTTATGTTTGCTGGAGAAGATGGAAGTTTGAGAATTTTAGGAAGAGATCTCTCTGAATATTTTGTTTCTGCTGTGCTGAAGGGCCAGGATTCTGTATGTATAAATTTAGGAAACTCAGTAAAGGAGGTCAAGAATAATAGGGGTAAACAAGACTTAACAGCTAAAAAAAAAAAAAACAACACACTGGTAGATTGTAGCATTAAGCACTTCCTACTAGGAAGTGTTAATTTTAAAAAATGAACGCTAGTTTGGAATAAACTAATTGGAAGAACATGATAAGGCACGTGCCCAATGCACAAAAATAAGTATTGATGGTTTGAGCATACAGTTCTTTGGAAGTAGCCTTTTAAATATGAAATAATATTGAATATGCAGAAAACAGCATTTTTTTTAGATTTAGCAAATTCCTAGGGGAAATTTTCTTCAATTAAAAAAATTCCACTTTCTTTAAAAAAAAAAAAAGAAAAAAAATCCTGAACGGTGTGAATATGTGATAAAGCATTAAAATAGAAGGACACCGACATTCTTTAAGGACTCATTTCAAGAGAGATTTTTCCTTAACTTCCTGTCCTTTCTTTATTTGAACAATGATGTGTCCCATGTGAACTTGAATGAAGAACTCTTATCTTCCATTTATATATGCTTATGTATTGCAACTTTTCATGTGTTTTATTTATGTGCCCTTCAGGATAAATCAAGATCACCTTGAAGTACCTGAACTCAGAAATTATGATGAAATTTTATTTTTTTTCTTGGCTTCCAAAAGTTGTAGAGTCACCATTCTTTCTCATGACTTAGACCATTCAGTGGATGAGCTAGTACTTTTCAGGGTTTGAATGCTAGGAATTTTCTGTTAGAAGGGTTCAAGAGCTTGTCACAAAAAAGTAAAGGAGATATGTGCCTTAGTGAAGAATAGATAATATAAGAAGCATATATAGCAGTAGTCAAGACACATGTTTTGAAAATAAATCTTTAATAACAAATTATTAAGAGATAGGACGGTAGAGTTCCAGAGTTCACTGCACTGTCAGAAAATTAGAAATATTTCTTTAGCCCAAGTGATGGAGGAAAAAGGTTGCATACTTTTAGCATGGCATGTCTTAACTATGGTCCCCATTCATAATTTCTAACTGTGAAAGGACAAGTAATTTCATGGGTCCATAACTTCTATTATTTTGAGGTCAAAGCAGAGCTGTTCTGAACATTGACCCAGAATATCCAAAGTATATTTTCTATGGACATAATTGAAGACATTCAGAAGTGCGTGTATTTAATGTTGACTAGAAAGGATAAGCATATATTAATTTATTAGCCATATTAACCTAAGCTACACTGGATAATACATCACAGAATTAATAGATGCGTCATAGAATACTTTAGGTTAGAAGGAATCCTCTGGTTCAGTTCCCTGTTCAAAGCAGAGCCAGCCTCAAGGACAAGATACAATAAATGAGTACCAGCTTGGGCAATTGTTTTTAAATCTTTCCTGGATAAGAAGAGGCTCTGACACACAAACCTGAAGGTGTTTAAGTCCTGAGAATTAACCAGTATGGTAGAATAAAGCGGAGAGTAACGTATGGTGAAGGAGTTCAGTCATACTGGTTTTTTGAGGGATGGAGCGTGTTGTGCTACCTAGTGCTAGTGAAGATAAAGCAAGAGGAGAGTTAGTGCTGTACCTTAACATTTGCAGTGCAAATGATTCACGGTACTGAGGGATAGAACAAAAATATAAGCCACCTACAGTCTAAAGAGAGAGATACAATGGGCATATGAAACAGCAAACAGGTGTGAAACTTTCTCTAGAGACTAATAGGTTAATATGCAACTGGGTCTATTTTTCATGTGGTTGTGTTTACTGGGGTTGAGATCAAAGTAGCTGTTTTCATATAAAAATGGCAAAGTGTGTTTTCCTAGGTGTTTGTTGACCAATTACCTAAGTTATTTTGCTATCGCAAAACTGTTCTGTGCCAGAAATTATAAAGGAAATTTTAATTTCTAGACTAGACATGCATGTTAATGGCATAGGATATTTAGCCTGTTTTAACTGGCAGCGTCTATGTTATTTTGTAATTCTTTAAACAAAAGATAAGGAAAGATGGGACATCATAAAGTTGAAAGGCTTTTATTGACATGCATACAGGAAAGTATTAATATATATGTCTGTCTGAGAACTGAACAAAAACACAGAAAGAGAACTTAGTGCACTCACAATTACAGAAAGAGTTCAAATTCGTCTCAGAAGTTGAATTACACTTTTTTTTATGTCTGATTTTATTTTCCAGAATGACAAATCCCCAGGACGTTCCACAAGTAGATCAAGTAACATTTCAAAGGTATGTGGAATCTATTAAAGCATTTCCTTTTGTATAGAATTTAAGTAAAGTAAATTGAGCTTACTAAATACAATACAGTACCTTACTCCTATGTGCATATTCTGATTTTTTTAATAAACATCAGATTTTAAGTTTTTGTTGTCTAACATTTTAGCGTCCATGTAAAATCCATTTTCAAGTAGAAATATATGATTAATTATTACCTTAATATGTGAAATAAAAATAAGTAAATAACAGTTACCCCTATTCCCCTGCTTTCCACAGCTGATTAATAACCTTAAAATACGCTGTCATTGACACCTTGGTTTAAGGCAGAATTACTGCTTGATTTCCCCCGCTCCACCCCACCCAAATGCTAACAGCTCTAATGCGTAAGCCCTATATACACGTCAGCATTTCTTGCCTTAATCTCTTTTCCAGGGGTTTACAGTTCACCAAAGCCAGGCTTTTTTATTCTGAAATAATTTCTGCAGCAATCAGTAGATGTGCATTTTAGAAAGGATGCCTGCAAGTTATAAGTAGTCCATTGGTTAGTAAGCAAGGTTTTCAGACATGCACCTAGCTTAATCTGTTTCTGATGTTGTGTGTTATGGCACAGCTCGTTCTTTTGGATGAGTTTCACTGTGTGAAGCTACCTACCAGTGAAGCTTTTTAAATGCTGAAAGATGCTTGTTTGGGAACTCAAGGTATCCGCTTCGTTTTGTGACTCAAAATGCAGTTTTGCAGAAAGGGAGGGTGTGTATGTGTGTACAGTTAGAGAAAGAAGCACTTGCCTTTTCAGATTAATATTGCACAGCACAAAGAAATAGTAACAAATACTCCATCCCAAAACAGTACTGGAAGTTTCTGGATGGTGTAAGCAACATACCAAAGGCAAGAGTTGAGTTCTATGCAGGGATGGGTCCTGCGCACAATGAAAATTTTCATTGATATAAAAATCCAGTAAGCCTCGAAATATAAATTACAGTAATAAAAATGCATTGTTTTCATTTTACCTCTTTTACTGTTTGTATTTGCCTGTATGAATAGGGTTAAAAGGGTTAAATTGAGAGTTGCATTTGCACCATTTCTGTGTATTTGTGTATGTGAGGATGCAGCTCCTGGTCTAGAGCCGGAGAGGATATTTCTTGCTGTCAGTGGCCTTTGTACCACCATTTGTGAAACTGAACATACCAAAGAGTCTGCAAGTACAGATTTGTATTTCACAATTCTCTTAAGTTGTTTATTCATTCAGAGGCTGTGTTAGCACTGGAAAGGATACCTGAGGCTTCGAGAATCCGCTTAGGCAATTTTATATACTAGGATGTTTCTCAATCATTTGGTATTACAGATTAAATTGGACTGTTGAACATTAAATGTGTCTGATCCAGACATAATGAAAAGGAATACATTTGTTTTAGTTTGTCATCTACCAGCTACTGATTATTATATGCCAGACACTAATCATTATATACCTGTTGAATTTATAGTTTTAAAATCTGACTTTTACTAGAGGGGAAAAAAAAATCAATGCTTAAATTTTGCAATTCACTTTTGATATTCAGTGAGAGTGCAGAAATTTGATACGCTGTGAAGACTTTGCTTATCTTACCTATATGTTTCTGATACGAATTTCAGGAATAAACTCTTTTAGGTAAATGAGAAAAGTTACAATATTTAGATATGATTTCAATACGTAATTATTTGCAAAGTCCACTGTAATACATGAATGTAAACAGAATGTCTGGCCAATGTGTGCCTATACATGTACTATTATAAAATCAGGCCAACTGGAATTTTTTCAAATTATTTTCATATAACTATTATGTAGCTGTAACTATGAAAGATACAATTTTTTGACATAAGGCATATCCATAGAGCAGGACTAAAGCAAAATTCTACACTGTCACTTTCAACTGACTCAGCACTAACTGGATAATTTTTTTTATTTGTGGGTACATGAGCAGTGAAAATTGTTGAGAGTGGTAAGGCTGTAGCTCCCACTGTCCCTTCTCTGTCTGTAAAACGCTGCTACCAGTACACATCTCGCTCTTGGTGCTTGGCACCAGCACCGTTTTGTTCAGTGGGCAGGAGGGATGGAGTGTTTCTTCAAACTAATTTGCTCATCCATCTGTGTCTTCTTTTCTAGCTCATTACCGAAATATTGAGAAACCCACTTGTTTGGTAACCACTGAGTTAATTGCAGGTTTTTTTCAGTAACCTCTCACAATTTTATGCTCTTAATCTTCCATACTTTACCCGCTTCTGTCTGCTTGTTTCCTGGTAGCATTGACACACAGTCAGCTATGGCTATCTTCAGTGAATATCCATCTGGGATATTAGATCATAACTTCAGCCTATAAGTCATTAAAACTCACCTGGGATTCTAGGAGCAACTACTTCAATGGGTTGATGGTCTTTCCAAGCAGAGGCACTTCTAGGAATAGTCTGGATTTTTCCTGTAGAATCAATAAATCAATAACTAGGTCTTCTTGCCTCCTGCCCTGCTGGCATTGGGAATAATAGATGATACAGATCATATTGATCTGTATTTCATATTATCACGCAGTGGCAAAGTGGAGGCCTACTTACTTAATATGGCTTTCAAAATCTATCTACATATAAATACAAATATAGAAATATTAGAAATGTGAGTTGCGAACTAGCCTTGCTCTTATGTTATTTATTTATTTGTTATTTGTTTGTTTATTTATTTATTTATTTATTAATCCTCCCCTTAGACTTTCTTCTCTCATTCCCACCTGTTTTCCATGGTGCTGGTAGTAAAGGCAACTCTGTTACTCTTTGTAGGAAGTAATCTTAGGCACTGTTCTGCATTTCAGAATTAGATGGGTTTTTTAATCTAGGTTTATTTGAAATATAAGTAAATTAAAGACTTACTTTTTTCATTAGCTCTTCGCTCCGGGTTAGTTCTCTGAATCGTATCTTTTCTCTGTAAATGTTTAATGTCTTCCTAAGTGTGTGAATGATTTAAGGAGAATGGTAGTATGATAAGGATCTGGTAGATTCCTTTCTTTCCACTGTGGTTAACCAGTGGAACAAATCTTGTGTTTGAAATACAGTCCATAGAGGTTATGCTTATATGTGTTTGTGAGGCTGTCTGGTTATGTTAAAATGCTTTCTGGAAGAAATGTTTCTAACACATTATAATTATCTTTCTGCATGTTAATTATGATTCAGGAGCTCCTTAGAGAAGGATGCTCTCTCTGCAGTACGATTTGAAATTCTCCGATGGGAACTTTGGGCTTATTTTCCAGGGAAGCGAAATTCAGACTTGAAGCAAATTGCCTGATTTTTGTTTTGGCTCAATTGCTTCTCAAAAGCCTGGAGCAGGTGTTAGAACACTTGTTATTTACGAGTCTGCAAAGCATCTATCTAATAAAACTCAGCTGAGTTACGTCAGGAAAAAGTGAGTTGATCGCTTTGTAATATTCCGTATGATAATATTCATTGGGCTAATTTAGAATATGAAGAATAACAGAGAAAGAAAAGGAGGAAACAATGAATTTGTTTATCTCCACCTTATTCAGTTTCTTTACTGTTTTCTTATGTGAGGTCAGGCTCTTCTCAGTAAGTTATAAATGAAAACCGAAAGGCACCAGCATGTCAAAGAAGTGCTTACTAAAATTTTAGGTAAAATACTTATTGATGCCCATTCATTGATTGTTGATTTGAAGTGCTCGATTTGAGATTTTGAAATATAATTTAGAAACAGTTTTAGAGGAATATTTGAAATTACTGATTATACAGTTAGGCATATATTAGTTTTCTGGTACAGCATTATGTTCTGTTTTTGCAATTATGATGCAGAATTCATTCAATTTAAATGTTGGACTTTCTATTTTATCCGTTTGAATTCAAGTATAGAATTTTATTTCCTCTCGTTCATTAGAATGGAATATTCTTTCATATGGATTTTCATGTTCTTTAATTTTCATCTTCTATCAGTGTGAGGTGGGCGTATGAAAAGTACTATATCACAGTTTGGGTGATCTACCCAACCTGAAGCAGAATTCAGTATTAGGTACTATGCATTTTTAATGGGTAAATATGCCACCATATCTTCAGCAGTGACACCAGTACAGAATGCATAAAACCTTGTATCCAAATTATAATAAGCACCAATGACAGGTTTTAGGGTGGTAAAGGCATAAAGCATCATCAATGTTCCTTTAAAAAAAAAAGTTTGTATCATGTATTTTCGTAGCCTCACATAGGATTGCTGCATCTCGCAGTTAACTGTTGTATGATTGAGTCCTAATGAGTAAAGAAAATTGTTTGACCCCTTACTTTCTGGGACAGGGGACTGCACAGCTACCAGTTGATCAGCATTTGTTATTCTTACTATGTTTTGCCAATCTCCCACTAATCGTATATGGCAATTCTCTTCCAGATTGCTATGGATTTTTTTTTTCCATGCTATGTAGTTCCATCATTTCAAAGCATAACTCTTAGTTTGCTGTAATGGACTTTGTTTAAAGAATATGAATATAATACTGTATATCATCAGAGCTGAGAGAAAACTTAGAGCTTTCAAAAAAGACAAAAAGAACAAACAAGTTGTTAGTCTTGTAAACTGTAAACTGCTAGTCTTCAAAAGCACTGTTACATTGAATAATATTGTGTATACAAAACCAGCATTAAAATTTGAGTGTAAAAGTTATCTTAGTCACCTAAATGATGCCTCTTGCTCGTAAACAGAATCATTAATATCAAAGGTGAAGACTTTGATAACCTGGCACTTAACTCTCATTATGATTCTATTACTGTGAAAAAACAACAGTACAAAGTAAACAAGTTAGTAGAAAAATATTTTGTTCATCAAAATATAGAACAGAGGAAGGCAAAAGCTAGAACTAGCTTTTAATGGCATAAAAATTATTGCTGCTTTCTTTTTTCTTAGCTATAAATGCTAGGTTTCTTTGCCCAGATAATACTTTCTGGTTGTCCATAGAATTTATTCTTTATTTACAATAATTTTAACAAAGTGCATGAAAGCA